TTTTTGAAGAAAATAATGGGTGTGATCCTAAAATTCCTATGAAAGTAAATTGTCCTTAGCAGCCTATTTGCTTAGCAGCAGCACACTTACCCATCATACCAGTTTCTTAAAAGTAACATAAAAGAGTCTATGTCCTTGAGAAACCGAATATGGCAACTATGAAAATGGGACTTCTCTTATCTTCCACTGCAGGGAGCACCAGTGACCACTGATACCAGACTCCCATGGGCTGTTCCCAGACAATGACTGAGTGTGGCAAGTATACTTAAGAAAGGCATTTTCCCAGGAGGCCCTGTATGTACTCCGCTGACCTTGGCTCAGACTCCCTTCCTGCTGCTTTCCTAGAAACCTTCCTAGAGCTGTCCTGCAATCTAAGACTTTCCTCCCCAAGTTGTTCTTGTCCTTCCTTCCCTCCCTCCTCCACCTGGTTTAAATCTGGTTTATAGCTTCCACTTGATAATAAGCTTCTGTGACTCAAAGAACAATGAGCCGAGTCAAAGATAAAAATTACTGTTTCTCTCAGGTTGTCTGTCAGTTTTCCACAAATGACTTAAAATAGCCACAAATACAAACAATTTGGTCCTTGAAATTTTATCAAGTCTAAGAGGAAATAAAACAAAGTAAACAGTAAATTTCAGTAGTTCAGCTCCCCCAAACATGCTGTCATAATTAAACCATTCTATTGTATCCACAGAACATTGAAAAAAGAAATGAAAAGTTACAGGTTGTTTTAGATGCCAAACCTTGGGCTGGGGCATTGCTATAGTCATGGCACCCCATTTTATAGATGATGAAACTGAGGCTCATAAATAATCAACAGATATAGTAAAGCTTACAAATCACAAACATCACAAAACTACCAAGCAGTAAACCAAGGTTTTCTCCTATGTCGTCTCTAGAATACCAAAATAATCTTATGGATCAAAAACAAACATCCCCTCTCTCTAGTCTCCAAAATGGTATGTATTAAAAGAAGAACTGCAGTCGCCATTCACAATAGAACAATATTGACACCTCACACCCCCTCCTCCACATCACAACCACAGAACAATGAAACCAAGCAAAAGATCTGAACCCTATAGCTTAGTTCAAAGAAAATTAATAGTTAACAAAGCCAAGATCACTAATTAAAAAGGCATCTTGCTCCCCCCACACACACTGAAAAAACTCGATTTTAGGATTGCTTAATCTTCTCCTTGTTCTAATATCAAAGGTCTCTTTCATTAGGTACCTAACTGGACTTTGGCCCTACAAGAATACAGGAATTTCCAAAGTGCCCATGCCAGGTAGTTCAAAATACACCAGGAAGCCCTGGTGGTATAAACAAATAAAAAAACACAACTATTTCAATTAATAATCCTACTATACTGAAGGGAAAATATTTTTAATTAAAAGGAAAATGCAAAATAAAAAAAGGAATCAAATAATTTCCTCATTAACATATATGGGCCATATCCCCTTCGTAAGAAGCCCTACTAAGGCAGTAGGTTAAGTGTTGGGCTGGTAACCACTCATTAGCTGGTCCTTGGGAGAAAGATAAAGTTGTCTGCTTCCTTAAAAATTCACTCAGAAACCATAAGGCATCGATCTAATCTGTTGTATAGGGTCTCTTGTATACATAAATGGTGCTTTTGAAAATCCTAAAAGTAACTTTCCTCATCCTCTACAAAGTCAATGGACAAACAAAAAGTTTGTTTTTCCTCACTTCAAGACAATAATAGAATGTCTAATGCCTTTTCTAGAGGTAACTTCTAGGATGATTCCATCTTCTGGTATCTCACACCTTTTGTATAGTTCCCTGGGCCCTCTGAGCCTGGGTTATAAAAAGACTGTAGTTTCTGTCTTCTATGTCTTTGGCCTGCTTACTCTTTCTCTCTTGAAACACTTGCCCTGGAGGAAAGTCTGCTGCCAAGTCAGGAAAAGTCCATGTGGCAAAGAACCAATGCTTGACAACAACCATTTAAGAGCACAAGGAAGCAGAGATTCACCACCTCTAGCCAAGCCTTCAGCTAAGGTCCCACGGTTTCCTAGCTATACGGCACCTGCATTCTTAACCAGAGAAGCAGTCATGAAATAAATGCTTGTTGTTTTTTATGCTATCAAATTTCTCGGGGGGAAAAATCTATTACATAGCAACAGACAACTAATACAAGGGGCTTCAAAAACATGAATTAAAAAAAAAAAGTAAAAAATAATGGAATTTTTCTAAGCTTTTTGAAGCCCCTTGGGCAATCATTAGCATAGAAAAAATTCCAACAAATGAGTAACGAAAAGATACTCCCTAATAGAGGTAAACAGAATCTATGATGTAAATGTGAAATACACAAAAGGCAACAGATATATAGTCAAATAATGATCAAGTTAAAATAAGATCTTTTTCACTAACAGAATTAAAGCACACATGTGGATGCTTAGAACGATAACCAGGACAGGAAAAAGTACAGGTTGAAGGCCTGGAATAAGCAATCAGAAGCAGCACGGTGAGCTCACCTATGTGAGACCAGATTATTGCCAGGTGTGTGGAGACGCACACAGTCAGAGATGTGCTCAGGTGCCAGTTTTGAACAGGCCACTGCAATTTCTGACTAAGCCAAGCAAGGGATTTGGTTGCTATGAAATATATAAGCTGCCCTTGTTTGCTGCTCTGGGTGGACCCCGTAGCTTTCTTTTGTTAATAAAGGCATGTCAAAGCAGACTCACAGCATGGAGTCCCAGTGACCCTATAGGACAGGGGGAAACTGTCCCCTTGTGTTTTCTGAGACTATTCGTTACTCAAGTAGAAAGTCTCATCCTTCTCCCAGCTGAAAGCACAGCCCACTACGCCATCAAGGCTGTCAGAGTAAAGTTCCTCCTAAACCTACTAACTTCTGAGGGAGAGAAACGGCCCGTGGGACTACCAAAACTTGCTGGTAGTTATGAGAAGCTGTAGAAGGTGATCTACCCCCCCCCCCCTTAGAAGTGTGCCCTGAAATGAGAGCTTTATCTTCATAAACTTTGAAAAATTAAAACTCCTGTTCTTTAAAGCTACCCTGTGGTATTTCTGTTAAGGCAACCCTATTTAACCAGGAAAAGAAGCAAGATCTTGTTTTGGTTTGGTTTGGTTTTCTTTTGTTTCCTCTGGCTGGGAATTGTGAAGGTAATTTCAGAGAGGAAAAATTTGATCTGGGTCTTTAAACATCATGGGATTTAGGTAGCAGGCACATAGATGTGATAGAGGAGAGGAAACATAAACAGAGACCCTAACCCACGGCCGTCTACGTGACTCTGACAGTGACCCTACAGGACAGAGGAGAACTCACAGTCCCCACAGTGGTAATGGTGACGGAAGCAGGCTGCCATGTGCTTTCTCCCCGCAGTGGCTGGTGAGTTTGAACTACGGACTCTTTTGCAGCCAAGCACTTAACCACTGTACCACCAGAGCTCCCAGAGAAACCACAAAACCCATTATATGTCAAAGTTTGGAAAGCTGAGAATTTGGTGATACAGCTGCTAACTTCAAAGCCTGCAAAAAACCCTGCAAAGTTTGAAACCATAAGCTACTCCAAGGGAGAAAGACAGTGCTTTCTACTCCAGTAAGAAATTAGTCTCAAAAACTCAGAGGGTGAGTTTCACTCTGTCTTAGCGTTTGAAGGGTGTTTTTTATGGAAGCTTCTAAACGTCTAACCCGACAAAACAGATGCTATTTTCTACACCATGAGAACCACGGAAGATTTGTGTGCAAAGGATGAGCAACATAACCAAGCAGAACTTGGTGAGATTATTCTAATGTTGGTATTCAAAAGGAATTGGAAGAGAGAAGGTCAGAAGTAGAGGCTTACTGGTGATTTAAGACAAAGAATGACAAAGGGCTAAAGGGCTGCTTACTAGAGTTATAATGATAGAGTGGAAAAGTGATGTCAACAGGTGATGAAAAAGGAATTTTTTAAAATTTTGACAATGACTGAATATAAGAGATAAAAGAGAAACAATTTAAATGCCAAGGTGAATGATAAACCATTAGAAAGAAGAGGCAAATCCAAAGATCTACAAAGGAACAGAAATATGTGAAGCCTTGTGAATTTGAGGAAACAGTAAAACATTCAGTGGGCACTAGGCAACATGAGACTAGTGCTTGAAACAGAGGTGAGAACTGGAAAAACGTGACAACGTTTAAATAATAACCTTATAATGCCAGAGGTGTGCTATTTCAGGGCAGTGATCACTTTTTATTAAATTGCATAGCCTTTACTGCTTAGCAGAGTCTCTGGCAAATGGAAGACTCTCAAATAAAATATTGGATGGATGAGAGGATGGAACTGTCAAGATCGTGGCAATAAGAAAACAAACATTTTTTAAGTATAGATATCATACCCAAGACAACATAGCTTGTTAATAGGAAAACCAGACAGAGCATAGGTCTCCTGGCTCCCTCCACTCATACCACAACAGAAATGGCATCTAGATTCCATGCACAGTGCCTCTCAAGAGGATGATGTAAGAAACAAAAATAAATAACAAGACCTGAACTTTGTGTACTGCTGAATGAAACGGGGAGGGGAAGACACAGAATGAGATAGCAAAGAAAGATCACAATTATGTATGGAGAAAAGGTATGTGTTACATCACAAATTAAGAGAATATTTCTCAAGAAAGGAAGTATAGTCAACTACATCAAACATTCACACCTTATGACAGTGTTTCCCTGGTCTCCGACACCACTGGGGCATAAGGAAGGGAGAGCTGTCTTTTTTAAAGCATAAATTATGAGCTCTTAATCTACCTTTCATGGAATTATACACACATAGATCTACCTCAAAAGAAGTGGTCACAAAATAATATTACAACCTTTAGTAACTTTTCCATCTATAAAATACACTATTTTGATAAAATCACGATAGCAGCTGAGCTAAACAAAAAATCAGAGCAGGTGAAATGGAAAGAAAAAAATGAAACAAATTAAAAAAATACTCATTTACCTGTATTACAACAGAAACAAACACATGATATTACAGAGGTCTTACCTTAAATCTCTTGTCCTGTAATACTTTCTTGATGGCAACCAGTTCTCCTGAATCACAAAGTTTGGCTTGATATACCACACCAAACGACCCATTTCCAATCACCTTAGTGTCTGTGTAGCTGACTTCTTGCGGCCTATCTGGACCCTGCCCAGGAGTTGCCACCACTGTGGTCACCTTACTGCCATCTTTATCTCCTAAAAAATAAAAGAAGAAGAAATTTTAAAAATGAGAACTGGAAATAATTAAACCAAGAAAATTACCAAAAGATACAACACAAACTATATTATTTTTAAATGCTCATTTGGTTCATTATCTGTCATTGTTACAATTATAAAATATGCTTTAAACTGCCATTAGTTCAATCATGCTATGGACCCAGCAAAGAACCCTGGTGACTCAGTGCATCAAGCGTTCAACTGTTGACCTCAAGAGGGTGATGCAAACCCTAGCCACCCTGTAAGACAAAGATAGGGTGTCTGCTGCCACCGAGATGGGCAGTCTCGGAAACCTGAGGGAGCAGTTCTGTTCTGCCTTACGGAGTCATTATGAGTCAGGACGGACTTGACAGCAGAGGGTCTAGTTTGGTGTAGACTCGGCACCATACTTAGTAATTTGCATCATTACATGACTTCATTTAATTAAAACAATCACCTCATGAAATAGGTAACTGTTCTCATATTAAAACCAAATAGAAGCACATAAAAAATTTCCCAAAGTTATACAGTGAAGGGTGAACTCACTCAGGTTTTAATTTTTTATCTGTCCAATTCTGAGAGCCCTAATTCTTTCCTAAAAGCCTCCTTATTTTACTTGTAAATAAAATATGTACAACTGAATGCACCTAAATAATCCAACTCTATTCAGACCATTCTGCTTTTAGGAAGAGAAACAAAAAAAAAAAAAAAAAAAAAGGAATAAAAAGGAATGGAAGGCTTTGAATTTTTACTTCTCCACATCTCACAAAGGAATCCTGGTAGTAGCTGGTTCCATGTTGGGTGGCTAACCACAGTCAGCAGTTCAAGCCCACCTGCCTGAATTCAAATCTCAGTGAGTTCACCCTTCACTTCACTGTATGACTTTGTAAATCTTCAGGGAATAAAAAACTTCATCTTTCTCTCCAACTATTACGCCTGGGAACCACAATCCAAGTATTGCAGCTTTCAAATTAGAAAAAGCACCGATGAACTACTTCTGTTAAAATGTTAAAAGCAGAGTAGAAAGATAAGTACATGCTATTACGTGTAGAAGGGATTCTTGAAGCCGGCCTTTCAATTCATTTCACTGCCTTATACATCTAAGATTGTTCTCTGAGCCGACATTCAAGGATTTGTTTCCATCTCTAAAAGTTAAAGAAACAGCTTACAACTATTAGAACTATTCCCCACTAAAACTGTAGTCATTCTAAGAACAATAGTTCTCAGGCTTTCAGCTGCAAGCCTTCTGGATTTTTTACCCGGAAATCAGGAAACTCTTCAGCCTACTCTCCATTAGGGATGTGAAAAAGCAGAGCTGCAAAGGAGGGCAGGACAATGCCAGAGACGATGACTTGGCAAAGCATCCGAGCACCAGGGAGCAGTCAGCAGCTAGTGTGCCAAGGAAAAGCATGTCATCATTTGGCACTGCTGACTTAGCAATAAAATAACAGCTGTACAAAATTCCAGTTTACAAAGCACTCTGCGATTCATGTTTCACCTAATCTAGTACCTCTGATAAATGTAGAAGGATATTACTATTATGATTTCTATTCTGCAAAGGTAGCAGAAAGTAAGGCTAAAGTTCTAGATAGCAGACTTCTTTCTTTACACTTGCTTCATGGTAACTCCATTAAATTTTACAACTTTGCAATTACAGCTGAAGAGTAACTTCATATATTATTTACCCCCAACAGGCAGATAATATAGAAATTCTGAAACATAAATTCAAATAATCAGCTCCAGAATAATAAAATCCAAGAGAATACATATGCATTCTTAATTTTCAGGTCTGAACTATTCACTTGTTAAAAGTAAAAAACAGATAAACAATCAAACCTATTTCCAAATATACTTTGGCAATATCAAGTTTTAAAGTTATCCCAATACAAAAACATTAAAAAAATAAAAATTTAAAGCAATTTATTCAGTGATAGCCAAATAATTTAACATTTGCTACTATTAAGGGATTAAGTTTGGACTATAGCAATGGAGCAGTACATTGAAATATTGCTTTCAAGAGACCAAAATATCTATTAAAACTAGATTTTTTTTTTTTCCAATTCCCATTTTGCACAAGGAGCCCTGGTGGCAGAATAGGTGATGTGTTGGGCTACTACCCCCATCTGAGAAAGAGAAGGCATTCTGCTCTCATGGAGATATAGTCTGGGAAACTCACAGGAGCAGTTCCACTCTGTCCTACAGTGTCCCTGTGAGTCAAAATCAACTTGGTGACAATGAATTTGTTGAGTTTTTGCTCAATTCTATAAATTTCTCATGGTACAAACTGAATTCCCTACTAAGTACACAACACTAGCTATTACAAAGTTGAGCTGTACAACAAAGCTATTGTCTCTTGGGTACAGAGTGGAGTAAAAACAGCAGCCGAGGAGTGCGACCAGCTCAGCTCCAGGTCCCCTCGGGCTAGGAGACTTCTGGGGCCTCCATTACAACTAGAATCCATTCAGAAGATATTCATTTCCTACTACAGTTATAACATAGAAACAAATTCCCTACCCTTTACACAGATAGATGAATCTTAAATATATAAACCACAAGTGATTCTTGATAAAGCAATGACAACATGGAAGACCATAGAACCACCACTCTGAACAGAAGATTGTTAAGCGTAAAATATTATTTTTATGAAAGATTTTGGAAATTTAAGCATATCCTAAAATGATACATGCAGTCCAGCTCTCAACTCACAAACAGGTTTGTACCTGTAAGCAACATCTTGTGGTCACATTTTTTGAGGTCTTCTGAAGGCACGCCTCACCTCCTATCAATCCTCAGATGAACAAATGTAATAACACTGTGACAAGATACACATCCCAAGTGAGGAGTGAGCTTCCCCAAACCAAAAGGTCACTTCAGGAATGTTTAAGTTCAAGGGGTGTTTAACACTGACATTCTAATTTATATGAATGAGAAGTCTCCAAGTTCAGCATACCTGTACGTTAGCCATGTAATTTAATGTTTTTTTTATCTTGAAGAGCCCTGTTCTTAATAAGATCCAGAGGTGAGAAAAAAAGTAACTGACACACAGTTCCCCTGAGAAGCTTTTATTGCATATTAATAAGCCACACTATGGGAGTCCAAGCGGCTCTGGTGGCGTAGCAGGTTAAGAGTTGGGCTGCTAAACACAAGGTCATCAGTTCAAACCCACAAACCATTCTGCAAGAGAAATATAAGACTTTCTACTCCTACTGAGAAAAATTTATAGTCTTAGAAACCCACAGGGGCAATTTCTACTCTGGATTATAGGGTCACTGAACCAATTTGATGGCAACGAGTCTGGCTTTGAATCTGAGTGGTGCAAATTATTAAGCACTTGACCACTAATTGAAAGGTTGGTTCAAATCTACCCAGAGGAACCTTGAATGAGAGGCCTGGCAATTTCCCAAAAGGGTACAACAACCTTGAGAACTCCTGAATCAACTTGATGACAACAGGTTTGAATTTTTTCAATGACACAAATCATGCAACATCTTGTCATTAATTCAGGACATATACCTGTAAATGTGCCATGGGGGACTGAGTCCATAATGACTGCCTCTTTAAAACCCTCCTTTTAGGACTCAAAAGCAGAAGTTCTCCTTGTAGACAGAACAGAAAGTTCAAAGTCTGCAACAAAGGCCTGAGAGAAACCAGTATACCCTTCTGTGCTATGACTGAGATACAAAGCATTTCCAGCCACGCTTTCTACCTAGCAATAATATATGGATGAAAAATAGCACTGCCTATCATAAAGAAATTAACCATTTTTAATAAATATTCAATAGCAAAAGAAAGCACTCTATTGAAAAGAGCAATTATATAGAGTACTCAAATGAGAAAGAAAGAACCATATTTTTCAACATAATTAAGACTGTCAAAAGAAAAACTCTTGGTCACTGTCCAATTTTCAGGTTTTGAATTAAAATGTAACCAATTCTTTATCTAGGTAACTGACTAAGGAACTTCTACTAATGCAAGATGTTTTCCCAAAAGAAGAAATTGCTTAAAACATGCAAAAATTGTGAAAACAAATTAGGAAAGGAAACTGAAATCCAAAGAAGAGACCAATTCTAAAATGAACTTACACGTGTCATGAATTAGAAGCTCTACGATGAGAACGCTCAAGCTAGGGTGTGCAACCGATGCTCACATACCCCAGGTGCAACTACCAAGACAGAAAGGGAATACCAACCAAGCAGCTCAATCAGTCAACCCATCCCCAATGATCAACAACACTTTTTTTTTCCCCAGAGAAGTTTCTGCATAACCTGATGGAATGACATTCATTCTGACAGCCTTTTCCTTTAGACACTATTCATCTCTTTTTGATACGATAAGAATAAGCAAAAGAGGAGAATAGAAAAGGGCAAATCGCACAGGGGATCATTTTTTGGAGATGCTTATCTGGGCATCACTTCTAGAAGGTGCCTGAGGATAGAGACAACAGAATGGACTCCAGCCTCCTCATCAGCACAGTAAAACTACCTTTCCAATCGCATGACACGGGGTGACCAAGCATTTAGTTCTTTAGAGAACAAAAGATAAAAAAGATAATAGTCAAGTTTTATCTTTATAGAGAGGTATAACGGTATAATGGAAAGAATATGATATATGAAGTCATACCAAGGCTTGAATCACATGCTCTACCACCTTTAAAGCACACATAGCTACAGCATCACTCACAACTCACAGCAACCCTATAAGAAAGAGTAGAACTGCTCCACCGGGTTTCCAAGACCATAAATCTGTGCAGAAGCACAGTATCCTATCTTTCTCCCACTAGGGCTCAGAGCTACCACTTACTATCTATAAAATAGAAATAGCTGCTACTTTGGTGGGTTGCTGTGATAGTTAAATACTTTTTTAATTGCATGCCATATAGTGTGTGCTCAGTAAGTTATAGTTTCTCTGATTTAGAATTACTGGCAGTGGGAACAGAAAAGAAGATGACTGATTACCTTCTTTCACCACTATGCTCTTAGACCTCTATACACCATGCTGCT